ACCACAAACACTTTTGACTATTTTATCACTTTTGTTCATGGCACGAAAAATCGATAGGTAAAAAATTCTTGAATTCTAATAAACATACGTAGGTGTTTACCTTTTTTTGTCACGCAGTATATGTAGGTATTAATTTGAAAACTGTAAAACCAGTAATTTATTTAATCAGAAAATACTACAAACTTAATTATTTATGGTACAATTAAAATATAAATTGCAATTTCGGTACACGGTAGGAGAATTGTTTGAAATCTTTTGTATTTAATCCTGCCTTCTCTGCTGCTTCTGTAGTCCATTTCGAAAGTTCGTCTTTCCCCGGAGTATTTTTGTACCATCCACTTAATTATTCCATGATAAGAATAACCTATCAGTGGATATTCTAGATAAACGTTCAGCCATTAGAATTTTAAAAAGACGAACTGGACAAAAGGTAGGATTATTCGTGTTGGAGACCAACCATTTACTATCGGCCATTTTTTTTCTTCTCCACCCTGGGTGGTTTTATTGAAGAAAGGATTCTTTAATTTTTGAAAATTAGTTATTTTAAAAAATATGCAACTAACTAAATATGCTATCTACCTGTTTTAATCCCACTTCCTCTTTTAAATGATGAAACTCTGCAATCGACTGCTCCTTCACCTCTCCAGGCAAGTTCTACTGAAGCGATATGGTAAAATTTTCGCTGGAGTCCCGCCGGACTGTCTTCGTCCCATAGTGAAACCATTGCTTGATTTCTTCCAAATTTAATTAAGCATAGCTCGATTTCCATTTATTGGCAACATCTGTAAATTCCTGCATTTCACGTTACGAGATTCCCTACTAGATTTAAAGATAATATCTTTAAATGGATCCAAATTTATTGTCTTCACAACTGGTTCTTTGTCATTTTCACCGTTTTCTTTCTTCATATTCCACGCCCAATCTTTCAGCATTAGGTTTACTTGTTCTAAACTTGTGTTTTCCAAAAGCTCGTATGTCTTTGCCTTGCAGAATACCGTAATCTGTTTCCATATTGACGTATGGGTTTTAATGGTATCGTACGGCAATGGTATTATGTAAAAAACCTATAAAACGTCAAAAAAACAATATGTCATCTTGCAGACTAGGTAGTTTTTAGGCTTCAAACAGTCATTCCACGTTTGCTCGCTAGGATAGCATCCATCTATGGAGGAATGGCTCAACTACACACATACACGCATTGTTGGCTGCATATATTTTGTGGATAGTTTTCATCTCTGAGAAGAAAGTTGGTTATTTGGTTGAATAGCATGATCGCATCTGGATGATTGTGTGTATTGGTCTGAATGTGTATAAAATCAGTGATATTTACTGTGTGAGATAATCATTATTACTGAATATGCTGCCAATGAAGTAAGTATATCTATTAGCTGTGCCTGACGGGTTATTTATATGTTGTCCTTTCTGGAGACAGGGTTATGTTCGGCATCATGTCACTTTTCAATATACATAATACCCGTGCGGTACACTTTTCTCAATCGCTAGATCAATATTAGTCACAGGATCACTTCCAAAACGACTCATTTTCACTATATAAGCTGACCAGCACTGTTTAAAAACAATATTACTAAATTTATTGACAATAAAATCAGAAAAATTATTTAACGTCGTTTCCTGGTGTCCTAAGAGACCATAATTACTTGTTATCAAAGGTATTGTAATTTTTGATGACTACAGCTGCTAAGTTTTGCCGCAGAAAAATTCCAAAAAACTGATGACAGGTACTGTCATAAAATTTTTCCATCCAGAAACCATTTGTAGGTAATTGAAAATTGCGCGCGTTTGTGATTGGTAAAAATTGAGACGATGGAAATAGTTATTAATATTTTAATATTTTCACAGTTGACGAGGTTATATATATATATATATATATATACTCGTATATATAATAAAATTTTGGAAGTACGGACTCTAATCTTTCATTATTTTTGGAATATTGTTCAGTAATGAAAACTTTCTTGTATCGTACAACACTCCGTTTTTACTAACCCTAACCTGTTGTTCTTTTTTAAGACTGCTCACAATTTACTGCAAACATGGCGGCAAATTCAAATCTTGCAATAATTATGAGACACCCTTTAGTAGGGGAGCCCAAAGGCTAAATTGGTAGACACTAGTGTGTGTTCGCGAACGAACTAGTTCATTCGAAATACGATTCCTTTTCTTTGTTTTGATTATCTCCATATATGAGAATGTCCACTCGACATTTGCATTACCATATGGCAAATGTTAAAATTATTAGACACTTTGGAAATACACTTCACAGGTTGTGTACTTAGCACCTACTACCATCTATACTCGTCTCCCTTGAATAAGAACTACCGACCGGTGGTTACCACTGTCGATTGGAAAGATACCTGTATTCTGTATTTAGATTTGGTTACTAACTACACAAAATTTTTTTTTCTGGTAAAAATATCCATCATGTGTACCTAAAATGCAAAATTCCGCTACTTTTAACAAAAAATCCAATTCCGACGCTACCACTTGAAAGTTCCGCTAATTTTGGCAACACTGACTACACATATACCGAAAACAGATTCGCCTATAGCAAATGATCTGCGTAGAGCCAAGATGACCCATCCAGTATTTCTGTTAAAAAGGTTTGTTTGTATTAAATTCCACAGGGTTGCAATAACCAAAGATCTCTCATGTAAAGTACTTGAAAACCAACCTCAGGAATGCTGCACCTAGCTTCACAATGCAACAGCCCCAACTCATCGGACGTAACTGCCCTTGTAAACTTCCTGACGGAAATGCCTCGCTTTTTACTTCAATTATCGCTCTTGCAAACTAATTGAGTAGTCCTCACTTGTGCGTCACTAGTAATCCCTCAGTCCCTTACGACTACAAGACTTTACTTCGAGGTATAACAGGCCAAGTATCCAAACATTTAAGAGAGAAGCTTTGGTCTTACAACCCAAGTGGGGTCCAATCACTAATGGACGACATTGAGACGGTTTTCACATGACCATACTGAATATTCTGAACAGTTTGAAAGCAAGGTCAACATGAAGCTTACTCTATGAACGAAGTCATAAACTACTGATTGACAGATTTGGCGGCAGCTGATGTACTGAAGAAATCTGCCGTAGCGAAAGCTGCACAGCGACAGTACCTCAAGTTATTACACTGCCTACAGAGAGATGGCGCTGGTAGCAACCGAGAATCAATAATGACGTACATGATATACATATACATGTTCCTCAGGAACAGTAAAGATAGTAAGATAGTATGGAAAAGTAGTTTTTAACAGGCTATTCTCAAATTTCTGAAATGTTTTAGTATTCATTGATAGGCATCCCATAAAGCAGCTTAGTGTTTAAAACTACTAAACCTAATTATATAGCATCGTTTAATCAAATCAAATTATTGATACAAATGATATTTTGAGATTGCGTGGCTTGTAAAACAATTTTTATTTTGTAAAGGCGTTGCGAAAGGTGCTGACAGTTTGTCTCATTTAAGATTATTGAATAGGGTTATGGCACACTATGCTCCATCATAGTGGATTGAAGATGATAACACACCGCGCTATGTATAGTTACTTGCACTTGCACAATTTTCAGGCTCCTGATGTGTGATAATTATTGTTTTGTATGAACTGTGCATATTATCCTGAGTAGCTAGTTGTGGTTTTGAATAAAGCTAGCTAACTTTAAGTTTTGTGTTGTCTTAAACTGAATATTGAATTTGTCACAAAGCACAAATCAAACATAAGAAGTTATCTCGTATTTTGTGTTATATCATGAAATAAAACCGTGAAATTTGAATATATCCAGATCCACAGAAGCAAAAAAAAAACAGCACACAAAATTGAATGCCTTGTACTAGCGTAGCATGTGATAAACCTTCACGGTATCCTGTATCCGAAACACCTCTCGACAGAGAAGCTTCTACTTGAGAAACGTAGATGGCCGTTACGCTTACTATCACTGGCCTCACAACATTTACCTAGTCAATGAAGCTTAATGTTGTAGGTGGCGACATCTTTTGAAATATATGCCAACTTTCGTAAAATAAGTATAAGAATTTACAACAAAACCGTATTTAGAGCCCCATCTGATGGCTGGTAGTCTTTCATCTTTTGTTTAGAGGGCTACTTCCATATTTCTAAAATGTTTTTGTAATTATTGAACACAAACTATAAGTAATGTTAATGCACAACCGGTTCACTGGACTGATTTGTCAATTAAACCTACATTACCAACAATGGAAAAAACGTTATAAACATAATAATATGTACTATAATAAAGTGGTTTACTCATTTTTGTAGAAAAATTAGTAATTTTTGTTTGTAGAAATACAGGTTGTCCGAAAATTCTGAAGCCACATGCCTTCTATGGCTGCTTAGAATCCCTGTATAGCTAAAATGTCTCTGACAATGAGCCGTATTTGACCAATTTGTCAGCCTAGAACCCAGAAAGTTGAAATTTTGTCATTTCGCAAAATTGTGCGACCTTGTGTGGCCTTGTGCCATCGAAGCGAGAGTACAACCTGAAACGGCGAAATAGTCATTTACTTTGTTTCATGTGATTGACACAGAAGCGATATGGTTTGGTCTGCTGCATAATAAGTACATCTCCCAACACACATTATACAGTGTGGCCCAACGAAAAAGTCACATCCCCATTTGTGACTTTCCTGGTACCTATATTTTGGGAAAAACGCTCGGACACGTCAATTTTGATTTCTAAGGGGACGTCTTTTCATCTTTAGCCGTGCAATACAGGGTCATCCAAATTTTTAAATGAAAACTCCCATTTATTTGTCAATTTTAGATTTTCCACGAAGTTTTAAGTGATCTTGAATCGTTGTGAAGCTATTTGAGTTTTTAGTAAGATTCTAGAAATTGTGATAATAAGGGTTAATACCGTAACAATAATAATCAATATACAATCTGGCTTCGTAGTAAAAACTTTACTTTTGCTTCTGTAGTAGATAATCCTATGTTAACCTTATGTTTTTGTCTTCATTTTCAGTACAGCGACACAGAGACTTTCAAAATATACGTAGGAGTGGGGTTCGGACTAGTGTTAGCAATTGTCCTGGGGATTTTATACTGGAACACCGCATACGGAAGAAGGAACATGAAATACGGAACAACCTACGAAGGATCCCTCAGAGATAGAGCCTGCAAAAGTCGATTGAGACGTGCCACAGACGTTGAGAAAGCGCTTACCGAACCGCTGCTCAAGAAACCTAGAATTCCGCCCGATGTGCCACCCCCTGATTTTTAGGACTACTTATATAATTAAGTTTATAAGAGCTACTCTGTGTGTGTACATTTTTATACGTAATTATACATTGTTTTTACATTGTGTTTAATATTTTCACAAGAATAGAATCTTTTTGGATGCAATCATATATGTTGTGAACTATTCGTCGACAATAATTGTAGGACGCCTTTATGGCTTCCTTGATTTTCATAGTATTTTCTCTTGTTCATAAATGCTGGGCTATTTCTAGATTTCTACTGGTCCGTGTCAGCTTCAGCGCTCTCCAATTGTGAGGCTATGTTGTCTTTCTGGATTGTAAGAAATTTCAGGCTGATATAACAGATGATATAAATCAGAAGCATGAACAATTTGATGCAAATAGATATTGGTAATATAACCCCAAAATAGAGCGCAATTCTATGTTCAATGGCATAAATTCATTATTATTGATCAGTATGATTGACAAATGAGAACCCGCCTTTAGACAGAACGCTTTTTAAAAATTTGCAGTAGAACAGGAATTTTCCAAATGAGAATTACGACTTTGATTAAAAGGAATTAAACACCCTCATACTGAATCCTTTTAATATATAGGTATTTTTTATCAAAAATACATACGAACAAAATAAAAATGAACCAAGAAATTATTTATTTTTTTTTCATTTAATCCGGACCTGAAATGTCGACTTTGAACTACCATACTGTTTACATATTTTAGGCGATTTGGCAACATTTCTCACAGCTTCGACTGCTTCCTTTAACTTGCTTTCACTGTATGCTTAAACGGAATTGATTTTTTCCTGACATCCATTCCCGAATGAAATGAAAATATCAGTCTCGGAAAAAAAAGGCGGGAAAATGGAAAGTGCCGCCCGCCTATTGGGATGTTAGAAAAATCGTTCATTCCAGTAGTCCGACACATCACTGGCTATAATCTACATTGTTCGTTACCTTTCGCTGTCCGTCCACTGACTGGGGCTATAGTCGTATTTTGGTTTGTTTAATTCCAAAAGAGAAGCTACAGTCTATGCTTAAACAGTACTGAATCTTAACCTCACTCTTTAGTAAACTTAAATTCACAGTTTCACAACAATACGTGCAGTGTTCTCACTACAGTGAATTTTAAGTGTCACCAAGTCATAAAGGTGCATTTAAATTAGAGCGAACACGAGCGAACGAACGAAAGAACGAATTTGGTCTTGTTCGTTCGTTCGTTAGCTCGCTACCTGTTTGAGGCATTTTTATATGTACGAATATTAGCATTCGCGGATGTTCCGTTGTTCTGTTTTCGAACTCCATGTCGGACTCTGTTGACGATATAATTATTAGTGCTAGTTTTATTGTTATGGCAGGTTTGACGAAGAAAAAAAGAAAAAAGAGGGAATGGTCTTCAAATTTACTGAAAAAAAGAGACACTGCAGGAGGAATAACAGACCTTACAAGCGATAATCTGGGACAATTGAATAACTTTTGCAGAATGTCTACATCTGATTTGGAATATTTGCTAAATTTGATTGGTCCAATCATTTCAAAAACGGACACTACATTCAAAAAGGCAATATTACCAAAAGAGAAGTTATTACTAACGCTCCGTTTTTTGGCAACAGGAGATTGCTATTCGAGTTTAAACATTCTTTGGTTCTATATAACTCAATGAGTTGTAAAGTTTTATCATTTGTCCATTCCATGTTTTGCAAGACGTAACCACACACAAAGTAGTTAAACAGTACACGTTTAGTAGGCCGAATTTATTCGCGTGTGTTCGCAAGTACAAGAAACGTCGTTTACATTGAGCGCGAACATCCTTTGATGATTCGCTAGTTTACCGACACGCGCTGGAACATGTCCGAACACGAACGAATTCGTTCGGGTGTGTTCCATTCGCTGTTTAAATACACTGATCTTAACGAACAAATTCGTTCGTTCGCTCGTGTTCGCTCTAATTTAAATGCACCTTTAGAAAAATCGAACTCAACCGAGAACATTTTCGCGCCATAATTTATTACAACTTTCAGAGACAATTATCGCAACAAGAATGCCTTGCTGAGTTACTGTCTGTTTTCGGCAACGAAGCGCCACATCAGTCGACAATTTCCCGTTGGTATGGAGAATTCAAACGTGGACGGGTGAGTCTTAGCGACAATCCCAAGGTGGGTGCACCAAAAACGGCAGTCACCCAGGAAAACGTCGATGCTGTGCGCAAACTTATCATTGAAGATAGACATGTGACATATCGCGAGATTGAGGCGTCCTTGAATATCTCAAAGACCTCAGTTCAAAAAATTTTACATGAAGAAGTAGGAGTAAGAAAATTAGTTTCTCGTTGGATACCCCACCTGTTGACTGAAGAGCAGAAAGCAACCAACTGGAAGAGAAAGAAAGCAGATATTGAACGAACGTCATCAGGACACGCATTAAGGCACAAAATCTAAAGTAGTTGCTCGAAATGTAAACCCAATTGTTCAATACGCAATTCACATCTACGAATGATCGAACGTGGTATAGCATTATTCAAATAAGGCCTTATTTCATCACATGCATTCCTGATTCTGTCTATTAGCATATCTTTTGTGGTACACTTTTTCTTTTAGAAATCCCCACACAAAGAAATCTAATGGATTTAGGTGAGGGGATCGTGGAGGCTAGGCGACTGGTCCTCCACGGCCGATCCATCTTTCTGGATAATTTTCGTCCAGCCAGTTTCTAACTATTCTCGAATAATGAGCTGGACAACCATCAAGCCAGGCCAATCTTCCTAAATCTAACATAACATCATCCCACATATTTGCATGTTCAGCCTTTAAAAATTCCAAGAAGGTCGCAGCATTTAACCTTGCAGGCAAAAGGTAGGGTCCAAATAGTCGATTACCGTAGATACCAATCCACAGGTACACACTAAATTCATGCTGAAAATTTCTTTCCCGAACTGCATGCGGATTTTCATGCGACCAAATATGTTGATTATGAAAATTTACCACTCCACGTCTAGTGAACATGACTCATCGGTCCATAAAACGTTACTTAAAAACTCCCTATTATTATCAGTTCTATCAAGAATCCACTGACAAAATGTGATTCTTCGTTCTCCGTCCCCTCGATGTAGTCCTTGCACAGGTTGCAAATGGTAAGGACGCCTATGGTCATTTCTAAGAACACGGTGAACATGGCTTGTTGAAATTCCCAAGGCACCAGAAACTCTCCTAACACTAGTGGTCGGATCTCTATCACACTCACGCAGAATCATACGTGTAAATCTGCGCTGACGAACATTTATGTTTTGATCTCTTTGGAGATTTCCAAAACCATTTTCAGATATTTGGCGATGCATACAAATACTGAGCGAGTTGGATGTCGTCTGTCTGGAAATCTTCGTGCGTATTCTCTGGCTGCTTCTGCTGCGTTTCCATTTACAAAGCTATACACAAAATGAATATCCGCTAACTCTTGATTGGAGAATAAAAATGGCATTTTTCTAAAACTTACAAAAAAAAACAGGTGAAAGAAACTAAATTTCGTGCATTCACAATTGCAAATAAACGTTTCAGGTTTCAACAGACAACAAAACTGTCAACTAATTGACGTTTAACCTTATTCTGCTTTCAATTTCAAAAATATTTGCAAGCACAGCCTACTTCTAAAAATTATCGAGATACTGACTTTTTTACGTTATTTTATTATAAATAATTAAAAATGCATTGAACCTTAAAAATCGAAATATCTCAAAAACGGCTAACTATAACAATTCACAAGAGAGCTTTTTTATGTTGAAAAGTGCTAAGAATCAGTTTTTTTATTCAAAAAGCAAAAAATTGCACTAAGAAAAAATTTTCGGTCATTTTAATACACTACAGGTACAGTAGAGAGCGCCCTCTAGCGGATACAGTAAAACTATGCCCATGGTTCGTTTTTTCGTACCAAAGAACCCTTGTATACCAATTTTCACTGTTATGCATCAAATATTGTTCGAAATATTTAAAAAAAAAACTATTTTAGAAAGTAAATTTAAACACTCTATATTTCGGAAGCCACGGATTTTTCGACCCATGTTTATATAGACTGTATGCATTAATTTTAAAAGTTCTATCGAATCTTAAAGTTATGCAACAATAAACTGAAACACCCTGTATAATATGAAAAATGCAACGAAAAACAATCACAAAAATTTATTACCTTTGGTTATGCCATCGAAATACAAAAAATAATTCTATATACATAAATACTGGAAATATAGTAACAAAAATGTGCTTAGTTACATGTCAGTTATTATTAAGTAAATAATATCGGATTATCATTGAATAAAGTATAACAAACAGAAATTTCATCATGGTAAACGAAATATGAAACATGAATTTGCCAATTACTGCTATTTATGATTCTTTGGAATTAAGAACACTTGAACATAAAATACAACCAAATATTCGATATCAGATATGACATAGACGCGAAGCCCAAGAAAAAAATCGATGTTTAGAAAAACTCGTGCGCATCAGACTGTAATAAAGTGGGTAACCTACATGCTGAAAAATGTGTATTTTATTTAATAATCTGACGATTTGAGAACTTGCAAAAAAAATTATAAGGAATGAAGATAACGACATGCGGTTTTCGCTTGTTAGTAGGATTTTTCGTGCACTTTCTGAATAATTAAAAATAATACCCCCATCCGGTACAAACCGGCGGAGTATCGTACCCCCAATATCAGTGACACCTGGGGCATATGACATATTAGCATTACGTTTATGTGACATACTAAAATAGCTGTATACAAATTAATAAGCTAAAAAAGAACCAAAGATTCATGTGATACCAAATCTGCTTATATTTAACACCTAACAAACTAAGGTTAAATGGATTTATATTTTTCATGTGCCGAATATTGCTACTGGAAATATCTATATTGCCAGATCTAAGAATTCCAGTGACTGGTTCATTCACACCATAATTCGTGGAATCGTAAACAGTTCTTTGCGAGTTCGTCTATGATTGACATTAAGTGATTTGTGCAAGCACCTCTGGGCGATCTATGACACCATTTACCAACTATTTTAAACAGAAAACATAAATCAAAAAATGCAATGTTCAACGTACTCATTAGTTTTGAAGCATAAAATGCGAAAAACTTCCACAGAGAGATGTTTGGTAGATCTAAACTGAATCAAAATTCAAGATGATATGTAAATAATAACAGTTAGCCCGTGATCTCTCGGTAACAGGTGGGGACAACGCCTCTTATTGGTCAATTCGCCATTAAATTTCACGTGGTCGCCTGGCGGAATAATGCGCGGGGCAGGGGCAGGGCAGGCAGTGCTGCACTCAGGCCACCGTCCGTCGCGTGTATCACTGCGTGCTCGCGTCTTCGTATTCACCTTGCTTGGTTGTTCCTGTTGTTAAGTGTATTTGAGGAATTTGTTAAGTTTCTGTTAAATCCTGTCATCTTTGTTTTACAACACGTTGGTGGTAATCCAGCATTCGGAGGTAGCCCTGAATGCGGCCCGGCCCGCCGTCCTTGCTTTTGGCAATCACACATCCATTCTATCTTGGGTGTAAATACACTATAGATCCCAATATTTTATATGATTTAGACGTAATTTCTCTGTGTGTTTTAAAAGTTAGTTTGGTTCAACAGTTATACCTATATCTCTAACTATGTCAGTTCTCATGAGGTCATGGTTTTCAACTTTATATTCGTACATGAGAGTACTTGAACTATGAAGCTTATCTGGTAGCATTTATTCAAATTGGCGCTAATTTCAGTAGTACTGTACCACCAAGTAAGATTTATGGGATCTCTTTGTAAGTTCGTAATTATTTACAAACTGTTTATCCAAATTGTTGGATTGGCCGCGGTGGACCCCAAGAATGGCCACCAAGGTCCCCAGACCTCAACAGTTTAGATTTCTTTTTGTGGGGCTATCTTAAGACACTAGTGCACAGAAGTCCCACTAACACTGTGGAGGAATTAAGAGACAGAATAGTTGCCGCAGCTTGTGATAGAATAAAAAACACTCCAGGGATATTTCAACGAGTGCGCAAGTGAAGGGGGCCATTTTCAACAATTTTTGTAATCATTTCGTTGGTTTTAATGTTATGTTTATGTTGTCAGTTGTTGTTGTTGTTCATTACCCCTAATGTGTTTAATTTTTCCAATTAAATTAATAATTATTTTGCAAGTTAGACAATACAACGGTTTTTATTTTTTTACTCAAAAATGGCGCATTGAAGGAAAACAAATCAAGAGAGATCATTTGTTTTAAATTGAACGGGGAATTCAAAAATAATTTCTATTTGGCAAAAAACCATTGGCGTACCATTTTTTTCTTAATACTTTCTCAATACCCGTACGCACGCCAGTGTTGAAGCTAAAAATTATTTTTGCATTGAAAAATATGCAGCTTTATTAACTTTCACTACCTACTAAATATCAGCGAAATATCTGAAGCGGTTCCGAATAATTAATTAATTTCGATTTTTTTCCTAAAACTTCAACACTCCGAATTTTTGTAACGAAACATTTTTGGACCATAGTTTTAATTTTTCATGTAGATTCACACCCTTAAATATTCGCATATCATTAAGGAACACCCTGTATACAATATCTGTATCTGACGCGCTAGAGTTTTTCTTTATAACTATTTTTTTATATTTCTGAGGACCTGTAGATGCTCCTCCCCACCACTAAAAGGGTCATCATAAACATGAACCCAATAGGTTCCTAGGATGCTCAAGTAACTACCCATTTAGGCTCTGGGCCATATGTTTTTATTAAGAGTTTAAAAAATAAAATGTCTAATCCAAAAAATATATACATCTTGTACATTTCTCATGTACTCCATTGAAAACTCCAATGCAAGATCGCGCATGCAATGTTGAACCCAAGATTCAACTGAATTAAGACACAGAATGGAAGAAGCAAAGTTGTGAAGATACACGTCCATTGGTAAATGGCAGTTCCCGTGGTGACTCGATTTCTTGGGAGCAGCACGTAACAATGATAGCTATGAATTCAGCACTTCACTTTACATCTAGTGTATTATATACAGGGTTTGTCCGCAAAGTAATAGGACTCGTTTTCTTCCGCCATGACTGTATGTGAGTATGATCCCGAGACAAAGAGGCAAACTTCCGAGTGGCACACGACGGCGTCTTCTAGCCCAAAAAAGGGAAGAATGAGCAAAGCCAAAGTGAAAACGATGCTCATTGTCTTTTTTGACATCAAAAGCGTCGTCCACCATGAATTTGTTCCTCCTCGACAAACCGTCAACGCCAAGTTTTACGTGGAAGTGCTCAGGAGACTCAAACGAAGCGTCAGTCGGGTCCGACAAGATATCGCAGACGACTGGAAGTTGCACCACGACAACGCCCTGGCTCACACCGCCTTTCTTGTGAACAGCTACCTGACCAAGGCCGGCATCTCAACGCTTCCGCAGCTCTCAAGGCTATTCTGGAGAATGCCTTCCGTGACGCCTTCAATGCTTGGAAATCGCGCTGGCAGCTATGCATCGACGCAGAAGGAACCTATTTCGAAAGTTTTTAAAGAATTGTAACGATTAGCTCAATAAATTTTCTTAAATCGACTCAATCCTATTACTTTCCGGACAAACCCTGTATTCATTGTTTCAGAACCATACACTTTCACAACCACATTGAAGTTCCCATTTTCATCTATAATGAACAATTTCATTGAATATTTATCATTTGTTCTTGCATTGGATTCAATTACATAACACTAAATAAGATCTAAGATTTATTTCTCACTCTTTACATTACTGATGCCACTCTGTAGATGAAACTGTTTCAATGTTTTTATCCGGTAACCACAATAGGCTCTCAACAGCATACTGAAGAACACTAGACATACTCCGAAAATACCTATTGCACTAACATGATGTTTATAAATCACACAGCTTAATAACACAGAGAAGCCTTGTCGAACTGTGCTTATTATAACGAAAACCAGAGGTCCGAATGTTGACACTGTATTGAAGATGAACAGCTGTCCACCAGCACTACATAATGATAATAAAACAGCGTCCACAATGAACTGTGGAAATTTGATCATAAATTCGAGTGACTTCATAAAGCTACTTTGTTGCAGCAGGGATACCAAAGTGAAAATACAAGAAAAGAAATTTACAAAGCACATCATCTGTAATGGTTTCATCTCATATTGCTTGAACAATTTCCCCTGCCAGTTGGCTGTGAAGCTATCAAAGGCTATGTATGAACACAACAATATCACACCAGAAAATGTTGTCACAGTGGAGTTTGATCGATCGTTACCTGTGTCTATCATGAACAACAACATACCTATAGATAATATAACTGCTGTAACGTACTCATAAAATTCATATTTAGTTTTTGATACTAGCTTTCCCATGATCATTACAGGAATTGTTTTACTAGCCTTGGCAAGAACTTGGTGAGGAAAAGACACATATTTCAAGGCCTCATACTGGCACCAAGAGCTCATTATATTTGATAAGGAGCAGTACATATATTTGTACAATGGACACCTATGCCTTGGTTGTTTTGTACAAAATAATATGATGGCAGCTGTAAGAAAAGCTAGAATTCTATTAACAAACACTAAAAACTGTGAGTCTTTGAAATAACCTACTTCTTTATCTGAATTTTCATATTTCTGTGTCATCACTTTTTCTTGTAACACACCCCATGACAAGTAGGAGATCTGAAGCCCACAAAAATAGAAAAGCAGCAAACAGCAGTCTTGCAAAGGTGTTCGTTGATTCGTCCCCGAATGAGGGTTGGTGTTCACCAGTAGAAGCTCATCTTCACCAAAGCATGTTCGTATCACAGCTCCAAACACGCCTCTACCACTTTTGTTTAAGTAGTTTGTATTTACTACATACTTGTATACTAAAAATCCTGGAACAAATACAGTCGCGTAGCCCAAAATATTCCGGATTCCGTGAATGATCCAACTGTAGTCTCCAGGGTCTTCTAATATTTCTGTATTTAAAAAGCATTTGTTCACAATATACAGAAGGACCACTGAAACTGTCACTATCAGGCAGATGAATATTTCCGCATTTTTTGCCATCTCGGTTGGATTTCACATGCGTATGATTAATAAATTTTGAGATCCATTATTTTAATTTTTACATTGTAAATAACCTAAAGATATGTGAACGTCAAAATAAAGCGTCAAGATGACAGTCCGGTGTCCGGTGATGGGTGGTAATAGTAATAAGTCGATATCTTTAAAAACAGGAACCGTTACAGATGTTCCATATTTTTGACTACCCAGGTCAGGATTTAGGAATAAATGGATTTCGACAAGAAACTGAAATGGGGAATTATTCTAAATATGCTCGTTCCTCAAAATGCAAATTGTTCTCAAGTCGTTCAGGTAGTATGACGTCATTTTCACTTGCTTTCAATATGCTTGTTGAAATACGGAACCGCCGGTGGTTTTACGATTAGCGTTTTTGAAAAGCGCTTGTCGCATTCCAAACAACTACTAAACTGTGGATGTTTTGCTTTTTGCTGTAGAGGTTTTTATTCATATCTAGAGTATTTTTTAACAGCTAAATTCTAAATATCTAATAGCATACCACTTTATCGGCGTTCATTCAAACAGGAATAATGAAAACTGCGAGAGGAAAGTTTTTGAGGCCGATTATCCATTTTGATAGAAGAATATGTTGGTGACATTGGAAAAAGCACCGTTGCGAAGATCTGTACTTAAAACTTTCGCACAGCAACTGAATACCTAAACCAAACGCTTTTGCCATATGACACCAATACGTTAAGCGTTTTGTAAACATACCGCTTTTAAACAGAATAGAAGTCCTGACTACCGGGCAGATCTTTAATAGTGATGCTTTAGCATTTGGAGTTATTTCTGTTCTGGAAAAAAGCTTAATGACGGACCTGTGATCACATCGAGTATTGTCGTTTCTCTATCGATACGTGATTACTGCCATCTATCTCGTATATACTTAACTACACACTATGGCCTTCTAAACCGTTGAAACTGCGTGCTAGGGATGGGCGGTTATTGATAACATCCAGTTAACCGATTATCATATCAGTAACTTTAACCGGCACCTGTTAACCGATACTAATTTAACCGGTAATACCGTTAACCGGAAAATAACCTTTATTTTTGTCCATCAACAATTCAAAGTGTCGTTAGCCATGTTTACACCGTGGCAAGCACACGGTGTAAGTGTGCAGAGAGCGGCATTTATGTATGTACAGACTTACGACTTCCTTTATAAGTCAATCCACGTTATAGAATGATCACGAAGACTAGGGATAGGAGGTTAAACTAAAAAAAAAACTAAAAAATTAGAGTGGTTTACAGCCATGATGAGAGCACCAAAGAGTTGCCACAAGCGCAGAGCGAGAAATTCATTTTCTGTGCAGTGTACACATGAAATTAATTTGCTGCGCACACCGCGCCCTGTCCCAACTCATTTCATAGTCGATATTTTTTTGCTCCACCCTCATTCCACGAGTTTAGCCTCCTATCTCTAGACTTCATGAGCATGATAAATATAAACGTAAAAAGGCGTTATGTAACCACAGAACATCTATTAGAACCTACAGCTATCTCAGCGGTTAGGCCGATTTTGGTATAGTTTGTTTTTGATACCCGCATAACAGTAGAAGTAGAAGTACCGTTAACCGGTTAACGGTTAAGCTTCTATTATGAAATAACCTGTTGACACAAGTTGATGAATATAGAAAAGCCTGTTATTTTTGTCTATCACTACGCATGCTTTGTGCTGTCGAGGAAAAGGCGGGAAACAAGTGAGGTTATTTTGTTTTTAACTTTTTGAGATGTGAATAAAAGAAAGTAGTCTGAAAGTTCTCTTTTATTGAATAAAGTATACAAACAAAATGGTGTTACAAAATACAGGAAAATTTCGAGCTGATAGGGCTGAAAAACCCACAAAAGGCAATGTCCAAGGAAATAGGTGTGTAATATCCAAATATATTACCTACTGTATTCCTAATTTTACTATTTTTATTTTAGAGAAGAAACTTCGGAGTTCCGTCTTAGGCAAGCTATTGAAAACGATGCAATTGATCTCAGATATGGCTTTGATCGGATCAAAGACCACCAAGAGAGGACTGGATTTATGTTGAATATGCATGCAGTATGTAATGAATGCATATTTACATTTACTATAATTTTATGCAGACATACTGTATTGTCTGTTGAGGTCCATCAATCCCAAGCACAAATAAATAGTTGCAAAATATTTCAGTTTATATTAAGACTATATAATAATAATGTCTTTATTATATGCTCTGCTATATCATACAATATATACCACTATGCTGTGATGGTCCTGCAAATGTTTTGTATTGAAAAATCTGCTAGCTTACAAACATTTGAAGAATCTATGAGGTGTCTCGGGATCAATCTTCAGATATGAGCATTTTTTAATATAAATTCGATTAAACGACTCTTGATCAGAATAATCTGCTGTAGATATATAAATAAAAAAAAATATTTCCCTTTCAGCAATGCACTGTGATAATAAAAATCTCACCTGGTATTGACAGCATTACTCGCTGTCTCTCAGAATGGAATACAAAAAATAATACATAAGATTCCTTTTATAAGCCCTTATGGACCTTCTCTACTGGCATTTAGGTACAGGCCACTAAAGGATGTTTTTATGATGATAGGTCCAGAATTGACGTTTTTTGAAGAACCTGATCCCTAAATAAATGTATTCATATTGATAAAATGAGTTTTTGAGAGAAACAGTCTTGTTTCAGTGCCATCTTATCAAACATGATTAATAATAATCGTATTAGCAAATTTCTCCAAAATAATTGCAAAGTCTGGTTTTATTGAAGAAACTTGTTGTACCTACTACCCGCGGCTGCTGCTCCGACCGCATGCTGCCGGCCTTGGGGACTGTCCTGTTGTCGCTTCTGGTATTGTATTACACATATTTTTGTCGTACTTCAGCATAGTGTTTCCTATGCTCTGATGAGGCTGCCACGTCGGACCAGGTTAAGTAAGTATGTAAGATGCACTACCGGTACCTAAGGACCTGTTTGACTGACTTTTTTGAAGCAGTTTCACTTCTGAGACCCCTACAAATACTGTGTGAGCTAGCAAGAAGCTAACAGATACTTGCAGTATTCCAGGTGCTTTTTTCTTATCACTGTATGCTGCTAGTAGGGGAAATTCTTTTTGATGCAGTTCCACTGCGTGTGATAGCCATTGAAAACTGGTTTGTGGCTAGAAAAAGTATAGCATGGAATGCGATTTGGTTATTATGAATGTTATGACTTATATATAAACTACAAAGCTGTTCATCCTTCCGAATTTTTAGACTGAAATACTGGATGAAGACAAAAGGTTAGTTGCAGCTGTGGATTACTATTTCATGGAAGAAGATGGTGCACGTTTCAAAGTGTCTTATCCTTTCATGCCATACTTCTACGTTTTGACAAAGAGAGAATTAATACAGGAGGTGTCGGAGTTCTTGACAAAAAAGTTTTCTGGCACAATCGCCAAAATTGAAACGGTTACTAAGGAGGATTTGGATCTGGTATGTATACTTTTTGTAGCATACTTTACAAAATCTCCATGTGAGTGAGTGTGAGAGTAATTTCTGACAAATTCAGTTTGATATTGGGGATCAATTGTTAGAATGAGGGAGTAGAACATCTGATAAAAATGGACAAGGATACGTTTCTTGTTTCTAAAGAGGAAACATTTAATCTTATGAAAAAGCTAGGAAAATAGCATTTTGCTGAAAATGGAAGCATTCACTAATTTGTTTGTTTGCTTAAGATTTATTTAGCACGATTGCTACAATTACATCCTTTTAAAAAACTACAACAATTACATAACATGCAGATGTTTATACAGACAAAATTTGCATCTCTAAGATTTGCTAGTTATATTACTATCACAATTTTTAAAATGAAAATCTATATTTCCTTCTGTATATTAATTGTGGTGATGATTATTGATTTTTATGTAGTGTTCTAAATGTGGTAAAAGATAATGAGAATCAAATGTGGTATAAAAATTTTTATATTCAACCACTAAAATTTTTGTTACATAGATTTTATTTTGGTGTACTTATTTTTATTCAATATTATTCTCATGGCTTTATTTTGCAAGACTTGAAGTTTTGAGAATACAGCTTCATTGGCAGTGAACAAGATAGTTGAACAATATATACTAAGTGACATATAAATCCGAACACCCAGTTTAAATGGTTTTATTTTAATAAAATTTTGTATAAGTACTTAATGAAGCATAATAAGTAAATGATAAAAATTTCAAAATGATTGCACTGCTTTAAAGCCCTTTGACCTTTAATAATGTGTGGATGCACCCGGATGTGCTACGCATTCTCCAACGCGCCTAGGCATGCTTCTGATCAGGTGGTCAATGTCCTCCTGTGGTATCTCATTCCAGGCAACCACCAACTCCTCTCGAAGTGCTTCTAGAGTCTGAGGAGGACGTTGCAAATTGAGCAATCTCCTACCAATCATATCCCACACGTGCTCAATTGGGGATAAGTCGGGAGATCTTGGTGGCCATGGTAACAATGTAACATTATTATGTTGAAAGAAGTCTATTGTGACTCTTGCAACATGTGGTCGGGCATTATCTTGTTGGAAAGTTGGATCTGCCAGGGTGTCAAGATAGGGTAAAAGATGGGGTTCTAGAACTTCGTGGATATAACGCTGCGCGTTCATATTACCTCTGATGAAGATTAAAGGTGACCTGGAACCATAAGCTATAGCACCTCAAACCATAACTCCAACAGTGTGATGAACATGTCTTTCAACAAAAAACTGTGGATTCCTCCTTTCACCATGTCGCCTTCTAACCCTGGCACGAAAGACAATACTGTTCCATTCCTGATCCCAGAGTGACCGTTGTCTGTACCACTCAAGGCGATTACGTCGGTGTTCTCGAGTTAAAGGGAGGACCCAGTGTGGCCGGTATGAAAACAAGCCAAAACTTCTCATTCGTCGGTAAACACTTCGCATGCCAATAGGTCTTCCGTGTTCTGCAAACCATTCATTTGCAATGGACCTGGTAGTGGAGAAACGGTCCCTTAAGGCCAATAATCTTAGGCGACGATCATCACGGTCTGTTGTTCTACGGCGGCGTCCAGTGCCCCTTGCTCTTTGCGTACGGCCTTCTCGAAGCCATGCCTGACAACACCTAACCACAGTGTCTACACTTCTTTGCACTCTAACTGCAATTGCCGGAAAAGAAAGTCCAGCTTCCCGAAGTCCCACTATACGGCCCTATCAAACTCACTAAGTTGACGAAATCGTACAGGTCTCCGTACTCTAGGCATCGTAACCGATCGTAAAGAATGTCAAGAACCAAAATCCGCCAACGTTGATTCTTTACTGCGGCTGAAATATTCATTTTAAGAGCGTTACTGAATTAAAAAAAAGCAGTATAAAAACCGGAATGTCCAACTGATAAGGCTGAAAATTTTTTCACTTGTTATTTACAGTAAGATAAATACATTCACCAACTTTTATTAAAATAAAACCATTTATACTGGGTGTTCGGATTTATATGTCACTTAGTATAGTGAAATGTGGTAGAACATTTGTATGATAAATCATTTTTTTGGAATATGTACTAAAACTATAAACGTATATATAAAAGTATTTTGTTTTTTGGCAATTTTTGAAATAAAATGTAGTCATATATATTTGTACTTAAATATTTAATGTATTCAACATTTTCATTTTTGTATTTCCCTAATAGCATACATTTTGTTTTATAGGCATTCAGTTTTAGTTTATTTACATTTAACCAATTTATGATTTTTGTCAAATCAGAATTTAGCATTTTTAAAGCAGTGTCTATATTTTCATCTGATCTGTACTTTAAAGAATCATCTGAATTTTACAATAATCTAAAATATTAAAAACGTCATTAATGTATAAAATAAATAGTAGTGGACCTAGTTTACTACCTTGTGGTACACATACAGAAATATTTGTTGAGCTTGATAATGTAGATGAAATTTTATTTTTTTTGTCTTCTGTCAATTAAGTAATTTTTAAGAATTTTGAATACAGTGATGTAATAATCTCAAATGTTAATTTAAAATTCATGAAGAACAGACAACAAATTAACAATCAAAAATAGACTCAAACATTAGTTATTAATTTAAACTGAATTTTGTTGGCAAAAATAATTTGACACTGACATGTCACAGTGAAATATGTTTTTTGCTTCTTTTTCTTTAGATGAAATCACCTACTTTTTATGTGTTTTCTGTTCTTGTTATTTTGATTTATCTTAGGATTGTCCTGTAAATGGTTTCTTTAACTGTTGGGCAATAAACGCTATTTATTTATTTATTATTTATTTATTTATCCGGTCCAATCGACTTATTTTGACTCCAAAAATACGTGTTACTACTACCACGAAGGATTGGGGCACCCTGCATAACTGATTTCCACTATACTTGCAACTGGATTTTTAGGTGTAAAATAATATTATTGTAATATTGTTTTAGGCAAACCATCTAATAGGCTTGAAACAGAAATACATCAAACTGTCATTTGTTAATCAGACAGACATGATAAAAGTACGCAAAGACATATTGAAGGTAGTTAGGAAAAATAGGAAGAAAGAAGATAGTAATGCCTATTACACTGAAATGTTAGCACAGACTTTAGCAACAACTTCTGAAAATGTTGTTCATAAGATCGACACTGATCAGATGGAGAACATTCTGGATATCAGGTAATCGTTTTTCTGTGATTTTCGTGAGGTGTGATTAAGGTTGCATGTAATTTAAGACAAGTATTTATTTTTTTAATATGGTTCATTAACCGAATCTCGAAAACTTTACATTTTTGACCATACATATTTAGGGTAGAATTTGTTGCATAGTATAAGTTTTTGCATTATGCCGAATGCATGATCATTCCAGAGAATATGATGTCCCCTACCATGTGAGAGTCTCCATAGACCTCAAAATCTTCTGTGGCTCTTGGTATACAGTAAAAACTAAGGCCAAAGAAACCTTGCCAGTGATTTGTCCGAGAAGTGACATCATCGAAAGACCCGAGCCAATAGTATTGGCGTTTGATATCGAAACAACCAAACTGCCATTGAAGTTTCCAGATGCTGCGACTGATCAGATTATGATGATTTCATATATGATAGATGGACAAGGTATTTTTGTCTTATAACCTTCAAAGTTATATTGTAGGACGCCTTTATGGTCTCCTCGATTTTCATAGTATTTTCTCTCCTTCAGAAAGGCTGTGGTATTTCTATATTTCTACTGTTCCGTGTCAACGTCAGCGCTGTCCTGTTGTGAAGTTATGTTTTCTTTTTGAATTGTAGGAAATTTCAAGCTGATAAAACAAACAGTATAAATCAAAAGCAATAACAATTTGATGCAAATAGATATTTGTGACATAACCTCAAAATAGAGCGCTGACACGGACCAGTAGAAAACTATGACTAAGACTCACCCGTCCACGTTTGAATTCTCCATAGCAACGGGAAATTGTCGACTGATGTGGCGCTTCGCTGCCGAAAACAGACAGTAACTCAACAAGGCATTCTTGTTGCGATAATGGACTCTGAGAGATGTAATAAATTATGGCGCGAAAATGTTCTCGGTTGAGTTCCATTTTTCTAATGACTTGGTGACACTTAAAAATTCACTGTAGTGAGAACATTTTTGTGAAACTTTGAATTTAAGTTTACTAAAGAGTGAGGTTAAGATTCAGTACTGACGTTCGATCCGCGCGGCATACTATGTTTCTATATGCAAAACTTAAAAGACATCCCTCGTACACGTGTTATTTATATAATATTTATATTTCATGCACAAGTACCAAAAATGACAATATTGTAAAAACCGTAAAACCTTTTTGATCGTGGATAGTTTTTTAAAAAAATAATATGCCTACTCGATTGTACGTGTGGCTCAGGTAAAAAATAAGAAGAATCTGCTAAGACGCAGAAAAAACATGCCCTCGATAATGCATCCGAAATATTATTACCGATTTTGAAAACAAAAATAAAATCAATTTTTTTTAAATGTTCCCGGAAATGGCAACGGCAGAAAGTTAAAACTTCAGTCAAGTCTGGCAACAGCGCTACGGAATTCCTGTTGACAGTTTAATGTCAAGCGCATGTTTCAAGTTGTGCGTTACGGCAACGTTTCGGAAATGACGCGGAACGTCAAAGTGTACAAGTCGACGCTAAGAGCGTTAGCCCCACGTTGGGCGCCAGTGTTATCCCGAATAAACTGTGTGCTCAGTTGGTAGCTATGAGCCCTCTCAGGGTGAGGTTCTTTGTACTTTGGTTATTTGGGCGCCACCTAGTTTCCAAAAAACTAGGAATTAAAAACAAGCATCCCTGTTGGGATTCTGGCGTTAAAAGAGATACCAATTCACAAGGTATACTTTATCTGAAGTCACTTGAAACACTGTGAAATACCGGGTGCGTTTTATATATCTATATTTAACACGCTCTGTTGCTGCAAAAATCGCCAAATTTCGCAGCAAATATCCCCCGTATAAGATCAAAGGCAGTTTCACCGGTCCACGTGGAGTAAAGCACGCCTATGCGTGGACATAGCCAATGAGAAAGCGTGTATTTCAGAGCTCCGAACAAGTGCAGGTGGCTACTGAAAATTGAAACAGTTTAGCCAGTGCCGTGTAGCGGTGAATAAACGTGTTTTCTTTAGTCTGTCCGTGTTTTTTCATAGATTTTATTAGTTTGTATGTTTTTGACTTTTGAATACTCAGTTTACTTGTTGATTTAATTGTTGTGTTGATTGTTCTTGTGTGTCCTAAATATGGCTCTTTGGAGACCTTGGGAAAATGCTCCAAGCCACGAGGAGATGGTTGATGAACCTGTGCAGGCAGAATTCTTTCATAAAGATTTAGAGGAACAGACCCAAAGAGTAATCCTAAATATGTATGATTGTCTGAAAAACGAAAATCCAGATTCCTCGCAAAATCAAATTTTAAACAGAATTTGTATCCTGACAAAAATCAGTCGGTCTACCATTTATCGGGTTATAAAAAGGGGAGATGTAGTCAACCATTCCTTCCACAGAAAGCGCATAGGGCAAAAATTAAAAAGAATAGACGTGGGTTTTCAGGAAGATATTCGTCGTATAATATACGGATTTTATAAAGAAAATTTGGTGCCCACGTTGGAAATGATACGGGATAAATTAAAAGATTATCCTGAAGATTTTTATAATTACAAATGCTTAGACTCACTGCACTGTATTGTAAAACTGTTTGGTTTTCAATACAAAAAATTAGATAAAAGAATGGTGATTATGGAGTCGTCTGGAATCGTTGAATTGCGCCAAGAATTTTTGCACAAAGTTAAAATCTATAGAGAGCAGAAGTGCATTTTAAATGCACCATGCAACCGTGGAAAACGAATCATTATTCTCCATGCTGGCAGTGAAAATGGATTTAGACCTAATGCCTTGCTGTTATCTGCCAAAAATAACAAAGAATCATGTGCCGACTATCAAGAGGACATGACCTCCGACTTATTTGAAAAGTGGATAGAGCAGCAGTTAATACCAAACATTTCCCCAAATTCAGTGATTATTATGGACAATGCGCCATACCATTCCCGACAGAAAAACAAAATTCCGAATACAGGCACAAAAAAACAAGACATTATTGATTTTATGAAGGATAAGGGAATGGAAATACCACAAAAATCAACCAAAGCCATATTATTGGATCTTATTAAAAGACAAAAATTTGAAAAAGAGTGTTGTTGACAATCTGCTTCAGCAAAATGGCCATGAAGTATTACGTCTACCTCCCTATTACTGCATTTTTAACCCGATTGAGTTGGTCTGGGCTGCTTTAAAAAAAAAGTAAGAAAACATAATCAGACCCCTCAATTAAGTGAATCGCTATTGGCCACAATAAGAGATGCAGTATCTCATATTGCTGCCACAGACCTATGGAAGCAGTGTTCTAGGCATATTATTGAAAAAGAAAATGAATATTGTGTTTTGCCTCCTGTAAATCCCGTTGTAATTCCTCTACAAGATGACTCTATCGACAGCTCCGAAGGCGAGGATGATATATAAATACCTATAATGTAAGTCTTTATATACCTTTTTATATACCTATCTGCTATGTAAATATTTGCCTATGTCAAACGTTGGAATTCTGTAATTTTTCCATTTCTTAACTTTCAGTCAACATAAATTAAACTCCCAATATAAGTATTTTTTATCCCAAATCAAAAAAATAAGAAGATAGTAAAATCCATTTATTGTGATATAAAAACATTATTATTATCGTTCTAAATAAATGACCGCACGCCTATGATACGTCATGAAATTACAAAGGACGCGCCGACCAAAGGTTTTTATGCTATTTCAAGTCACTTCAGATAAGGCATACACATACATTTATTCAACAACAAAAAAAATTAAAGAGAAGTCCTGGAGGACAGGCTAACAAGAATGAATATACAGGGTGACTTGTAATGTCACGTATTCCTGTTAAGGGGTAATAGATTAGGTCAAAAGCAACCGATTTTGTCCTATCATGTCTTATCCAAAAGTTAACCAGTTTTGAGTTATTTGTATTTTAAGTTTTTTATTTTTTATTGAAATACAAAAAACTGCATGCTTGATTTTGAGTTTTTTGTTATCGTCGCATAGCAGACATTCCAATAGTTCATAATAAGTAATAAAATGTTGGAAAGCTACAAACGTTTTAAAATTGCGCTGTTTAAATGTATCATTTTCTTTTTTTTGACCAACTTATTCGATATAAAATGCAATTTTCTGTAAAAAATCTCCTAGTAATGAAATGTGCAGATTATGTAAATAATATCTATATCTAACAAGCTTTTGAGGTATTAAGCGTTCAGTTATCTGAAGTACATGCAGAGAAACAACAATGACATCCACAGAGGCTGGATTTTTAAGGAATTTGTATTACCTGTTTGAACAAGTCGTTACTGTCATCAAAGGACTCGCATGCCATGATTGTTTTATGGCATCGGCTCGATGAGGAAGCGAGCGAGAAGGGCTGACTTAGTGGAGGAGTGATAGAGAGAGAGAGCTATTATTATTCATCATTGTAGTTACGCCATCGCCGCACGCCGAGTGAGAATTAGGTTTAGTTGGTATCAACTACTGCATACGCGCACACGTTTATTATTTTCGAGTTTCCCGGTTCATTCCGAGTGGTTTCTTTATCATCATGGCAGACGCAGAAGATCTGCCAGGACCTCGCCATAGCGAGCACGGGCAAACTTTTACGAATGAAGAACACGCAGACATAATGTTCTGTTATGGACTTTGTAACGGCGATTCTGCAGCTGCCCGCCGTGAATATCGGCAACGTTTCCCGAATCGCCGAACACCTCATGTTACTGTATTTGACTCTGTGTATCGACGCATCCGCCAAACCGGACGTGTTCAAAGGCAACATAGTGATGCTGGTCGACCCCGAATCTATCCTCCTGAAGATGAAGAGGAAATCCTTCGTGTGTTTCAGGAAGACCCTACTACGTCTACGCGCATTGTGGCTGCTCAGTTGGGTATATCACAATAAAAAGTATGGTTTACTGTCCATACTGCAAGATTATACCCTTATCACTACACGCCTGTTCATGTGATTGAAGAGGGCGATCCTGCAAGACGATTCGATTTCTGCAGGTACATGATACATGCAGATACAGAAGATCCAGACTATTTTAAGAAAATTCTGTGGACCGATGAATCGAAGTTTGATAAGGACGGTATCACTAACTACCATAATGCTCATTACTGGGCTGATAAAGAAGCTTTAAACCCCCGAAAAATAAGACCGACGGGGTCTCAGCCGGTTTTCAGTCAATGTGTGGATGGGCATCATTGATGGATATTTAATTGGACCTCATTTTCTGCCCAATTTAAATGGAGAAGTGTATGAAGAGTTCTTGAAAAATCACTTGTTTCGATTAATGGAAGACGTCCCATTGGCGACGAGACAAAATAAGCGGTTCCAGCACGACGGCTGTCCCGCACACTACAGTAGATTAGTACGGGCGTATTTAGACTCTAAATTTCCAAATCAATGGATTGGCAGAGGCGGACCCATTGCCTGGCCAGCAAGAAGTCCAGATCTCACACCGATGGATTACATATGAAAAGCCTGTTGTACGATATTTCGCCCGTACCAACGCGCGATGAATTAATTACAAGGATAATCAGTGCAGCTGACCAAATAAAAAGTCGCTTAACAACTAGAGTTACCAAAAGTGAATTACGTAAGAAAATGAGGGCGTGTATTCGTAACAGAGGATTACAATTTGAGCAGAATCTGTAAAATACTAAAGGAAATGTAAATACATAAAACTGTAATTAAAATAAAATCCTTTTATTTATCCTACGTAATTATCGTTCGTACAACTTTACTCATCTTTTTTTAATTTTATGTCTTTGTACTTGAGTTAGTTGTAACTTTTATTCCTCAAATGAAAGCTTGTTAGATAGAGATATTTACATAATTTGTACATTTCATTACTAGGAGAGTTTTTACAGAAAATTGCATTTTTTATCGAATAAGTTAGTAAAAAAATAAGAAAATCGTACATTTCCAAAGCTTAATTTTAAAACTTTCGTAAGTTTTCAACATTTTATTACTTATTATGAGCTATTGGAATGTCTGCTATGCGTGGATAACCAAAACTCAAAATCAAACATGTAGTTTTTTTGTATTTCAAATTTAACCGTCTAAAATCGGAATAAAAAATAAAAAAAATAAAATTCAAATAACTCAAAAACGGTTAACTTCTGGATAGGACAGTATAGGACAAAATCGGTTGCTTTTGACCTAAGCTATCACCCCTTAACAGGAATACGTGACATTACAAACCACCCTGTATGTATTACTCCCCTAGCTAAATGGTTATCCAAAAAAACTAAAATAAAAAAAACTTGGCTATCTAAGAACGGCTACTGTTGGTAGGAAGTCTTAGATATTACCATAAAACCGGAGGATAGATCTCAAATAATGAGGGTGCTCCAAAAACGGGGGAACTGCTCCTCCCAGGCGTAAGTGTCACCTAAACTTGCCTTAGATTAACCTTGTAGGCGGTCCCCCTCCGCTCGATGGTTGAGTGTAATTATCTACACGATTAAATCCCCAACAGAGTAAGAAAAAAGCTCCGACACTAAGAACCACCTGGGGGCCGATTTTTAACAAAACTACCCAACCACCCTTTGAATCCCGCAACGCAGCGCGTGAACTATTCACAGGATCGGCCAGTGGGCCGCAGACAAAATGCTCCACCAGAGCACCGGAAATAGCCCCAAGTCACCTTCAGCTCTCGTATTTACGGTCGACTGAAATTATAAAAAATGACCTCCAACGAGATGGAGAATAGAGTACGATTTTCTACCACATAATTACTAGACTGAGAAAAGTGTTTTGTTATAAGAATGAAATTCGATGTTTTTAAGAACAACTGTACAATTATCCTAAATAGGAAAAACGTTGTAATAATTTACTTTAACCAGATGTAGTTAATTTTTAGTCGACTGTAACAGTGTGTAGTATAGCCCAGCCTACCAGATGTCATGTGAAAAAATTACTTTGAAAATTTCGAAATCCTTTAGATTGCTTGACAGAAACATGTGATACTCGGTTGAGCAGATTCAGTCAATAACAAACCATATTCAGTATTCTTACCAGCTGAGTGTAGGTGAACATAATCACTGTTCACATTCAAAATCAGAGCGTTAGTAATCCCTAATTATGGATGAATCAAGTAGATTACATACGACATTGGAAATGTCATGGTATTTCGTTATGTACTCGTACTTGTAACATCCCAAATTATTAATTACAAGACTTTCTCGTCACTGGGCGCGGGAAACAAAATTATATTACCACTTTGACATTCCAGGTTACCTTATAACAAACCGAGAAATCATATCGGCAGATATAGAGGATTTTGAATATACACCAAAACCGGAATTTGAAGGGAAATTCACCATTTTCAACGAACCAAACGAAATGAGTCTGATTCAGAGATTTTTCGACCATATTCTTGAAGTTAGGCCGCACGTTTTTGTTACGTACAACGGAGATTTTTTCGATTGGCCCTTTGTAGAAGCAAGAGCCGCCTCCTATAATTTGGACATGAAACAGGTTTGGTTGATGCGTATAAAAAAACAGGTGATATAAAAGATGACTGTTTATTAATTTCAGGAAATTGGATTTTCAAAGAACCGAGAAGGCGTGTATTGCTGTAGACCAGCAATGCATATGGATTGCCTATGTTGGGTAAAGAGAGACTCATATTTGCCTGTGGGCTCACAAAACTTGAAGGCTGTCGCTAAAGCGAAGTTAAGGTGAGCATTTTCGTAGCAATATCAGTATTTTACATTTCTCGGTTGTTGTTGTTGTCTATCCCACAGTGCCTTGCAGATTGAAGGTACTCACTTCAATCGCTGACAACAGCAACTGTTTTTTCCTTTTTTCCAAGTTTTGTAGTTCGCAAGTCGACGTCAAGCATTTTTTTTTTCGATAGGTACGATCCAGTAGAGTTGGACCCGGAGGAAATGTGTCCACTGGCTGCTTCAGCACCGCAGGTTCTGTCGAATTACTCTGTATCAGATGCTGTAGCCACGTATTATTTGTATATGCAGTATGTCCATCCCTTTATTTTTGCTTTGTGCACCATTATCCCTTGTGAACCAGATGAAGTGTTGAGAAAAGGATCAGGTGAGAATCTACGTTGCTGAAAATTAAACATAAGAATATGGAAAAAAAACTAGGATACTATGGAATACGAGGAATGTCTTTTAAGTTTTGCATATAGAAACATAGTAGGCCGCGCGGATCGAACGTCAGTATTGAATCTTAACGTCACTCTTTAGTAAACTTAAATTCAAAGTTTCACAACAATACGTGCAGTGTTCTCACTACAGTGAATTTTTAAGTGTCACCAAGTCATTAGAAAAATGGAACTCATCCGAGAACATTTTCGCGCCATAATTTATTACAACTTTCAAAGACAATTATCGCAACAAGAAACTCATCATTGAAGATATACATGTGACATATCGCGAGATTGAGGCGTCCTTGAAGATCTCAAAGACCTCAATTCAAAAAAATTTACATGAAGAATTAGGAGTAAGAAAATTAATTTCTCGTTGGACACCCCACCTGTTGACTGAAGAGCAGAAAGCAGCCAGGGTTAATTGGTGTCAAGCTTGACCGTTTTAATTCCGAAATCTCAAAATATGTGTACAGCATTGTTAGTGGTGATGAATCGTGGATTTACTGTTATGAACCAGAAAATGAACGACAGTCGGCTGTTTGGGTGTTCCAAGGTGAAGAAAAGCCAACAAAAGTCATCCGTTCTCGAATTGTTTCGAAAAAGATGGTCGCGACATTTGTGTCAAAAGCGGGTCATATTGCAACAATTCCTCTTAATGAGCAAAGAACTGTTACTGCGGATTGGTATACCACCATTTCTTTGCCAAAAGTCATCACCGAGCTTCGAAAAATCAACCCCGAAAGAAGAATCATCCTCCACCAAGACAATGCAAGCTCGCACACATCCCAAGAAACAAGGCAGTATTTAACGGAAGAAAACGTGGAATTATTGGACCATCCTCCTAAGTCCTAACGATTTCTTTACTTTCCCGAAAATTAAAAACAGACTGCGTGGTCAAAGGTTCCAGTCACCAGAAGAAGCAGTTGACGGATTCAAAAATGCTGTTTTGGATCTGCCATCAAACAAGTGGACTAAGTGCTTCGAAAATTGGTTCGAGCGCATGCAGATGTGTATTAATCTTCGTGGAGAATACTTCGAAAAACAATAAAGTCATTTAAAACTCCCTACCGTTTTGTTTTATTTCCTTATGCAACACTTAAAAGAGATCCCTCGTAAGAAAAACCGTATTTGTCAAATAGGAAGCAGTATGTATGCTTTGAGGGTACCGTCTCTAACCTCTTGCCTATTTTCAACGGGGTACCTCAGGCATCAGTACTTGGCCTCCTACTATTTCTAATGCCTCTCATTGGGAAAAACGTTCGCACACGTTAATTTTGATTTGTAGGAGAACTTCTTTTCATCTATAGCCGTGCAATACAGGGTGATCCAAAAATAAGATATTGCGTTATACTTTAAGTTTCTAAATGGAAACCCCCATTTTTCTTTTAATTTTTAGAAGTTTTTAGTAACTTTTGTATAATAAAGTTTACCTCACTCGTTGTGAAGCTATTTGAGTTTATAACAAAATTTGACTAACTTAATACTGATAATAATGGAATGCACGACAAATAATAATAATCATGGATACCAGCAAGGTCATTTAGCGTCAGTTTCATCGTGTCATAGAAAAAAATTGTCTTCCATTTCAAATTGTTAAGTCACCTACCTAGTTGTGATAAATATTGAACAATGACTTTTTCAATTCAAGAAAGGGTAGAAATGTCAAAACTGTATTAACAAAATGGGAGCATCTCCAGACCTAAATCATTTAGATTACTTCCCTTAGGGGCATTTGAAAAGTAAAGTTTTTAGTAGGAAGTCAGATTCCATCCAAGATAGCGGATAACGGCTGAATGTACACAAATAACTCAAGACATGCTTGAAAATGTGAGGAAACAAAATATTTATTAATGCATGGAGGTAAATGGTACCACATTCAGCACTTAATACCACATGGACCTACCTCTTTATAGCAAATTAATTTTTACTTCAACTTATTGATTATTATTTTTACGATAAAATTTCACAAGCTCTAGTATTTTATTATAAACTCAAATAGCTTCATAATGATTGAATATAAGTATAAACTTTATTATACAAAAGTTACTAAACCTCAGAGCTTATAAATCGACCTTTACCGTTCATATAAGATGTCACTTTGAAGCTCTTGTTATCCTTTAAATAAAAAGTTGTTTTTTTTTTTAAGGTTTAAGTTTCATGTTATAGATTGCTTGTTTTTTTATCGAGCAATTTATGGAAGGATCCTGGTGTATTTGTAAATTTATTATATGAATACTGATTATGAGGTGTCTTATACAGGTACGTTATGTGAAGCCCTTCTAATGGTCGAAGCATTCCATGCAAACATTATTTTTCCAAACAAAGAAGAATCAGAGTTTAACAAATTAACTCACGACGGTCATGTTTTGGTACAAGAAACTTATGTTGGAGGACATGTGGAAGCCTTAGAGTCTGGAGTTTTCAGGTGTGTATCCAAACAGAATGCTTCAATAGACTTGAGATGCCGCATTCATTTGAAAGACAGGCCTGCGCAAAAAGGACTCATACAGGGTGGCCCATAGGTCCTTTGAGCTGGAAAAAAAGGAATAAAACCAAACTAGTTACATTATGAAGAATTATTATATTTTGTTATCATCTTTATTGAATGGGAATTATGTTTTAAAAATCACATCGTCTAAATGCAATCCATTACGATCACGGCACTCATATAAACGACGTCTAAAATTGTCGATGACTGCGCGGCAAGTCAACACTGTAATGCTTGCCATTTCTCTTCGGATATTTTCTTTCAGGACATCAACTGATCGCGGAGTGGTGTCGTACACTTTACTCTTGAGGTAGCCCCATAAAAAGAAGTCCATTGGGGTCAAATCTGGACTACGTGGTGGCCAGGAAATGTCTCCTCTTCGAGAAATTACTTTGCTGGGAAAAAGTTGACAGACGACGGGCATAGAAGTGTTGGAGGTGTGGGCAGTTGCTCCGTCCTGTTGAAACCAGGTCTGCGTATTATAGCCAGGAAAATTCTGCAACGCTGGTGTCAAAAACTCTTCTATCATTGCTACATACCGCTCCGAAGTAACAGTTAATGCGCGACCTCTGTCGTCCTCAAAAAAATAAGGGCCTACGATGCCATGCGCTGACATAGCAGCCCAAACTGTAACTTTAGGGCTGTGTAAGGGCTTCTGATGCTTACGCCTTGGATTTTCGGGGCTCCAATAACGGCAATTTTGTTTATTTACATGCCCGTTTAAATGGAAGTGAGCCTCGTCCGAGAACAACACATTATTGAGCGAAGAAAATCGATTCAACATTTCATTCGCAAAGTTTAGTCTCTGAGTAGCGTCATTATCTTTTAATTCCTGCACTAACTGAATTTTGTAAGCGTGCAGATGTAAATCTTTCCTTAAAATCCGCTGTAAAGATGTTCTGGGTACGTTTAGTGGACTGGAACGCTTACGAGTAGACTGGGTAGGATTTTGACGAACAGACTGTGCCACAATGTTGATGTTTTCTTCAATACGAGTTGTCTTTGGTCGACCCCACCGCTGTTTATCTAACGTCGAACCAGTCTCTTCGAACTTAGCAACCCAGTTCTTAATCGTTTGAGCTGTTGGACACTTTGTAAAATTGTGTAAATTGTGGTATTCTCGATATTTACGCCGCGCAATGGTTGCCGAATCATTATTTTGATAAAACGCGCGCACACAAAAAGCACGATCCGCTCCAGTGAAACACTCCATGGCGACTGAATTCCCAGACACTGAAGGTACTGCCCCCAGCTCGCCCGCGCCGCTCACGCTCACATTTTATTCAAATTTGAAATTTCAAAGGACCACCCTGTATATCGAAGCACAGCGAACCATTCATTTTTACAATATACGCACTGTCTTTAGGTAGTAGTAATAGAAAGATTTATTTAGCACATTTGGTTACATAAACAGAATATTTGTAAACAACTTAGAATTAGTAAATTCAAGCCATATGATGTAAATGCTGGGCAAGCTATAATTGTAGATTTAACAAGTGATTCCTCAATTTTACTTTACATTTTGTCAAAGTTTTCTGGTCTTTTATCTCTGTGTACAATTTATTATACATATTTAATCAACCCTTGATGGAATACAGATTTGTAGCATATGTTATACTTTTTGGTCATCGAATGGAAGGCATCTTTATTTCTGGTATTATGTAAATGATGTTCGGCATTTGATGATGTTAAATTAGTTAGACTTGATGGAAATATATTATTTTTTACTTTATAAATGAATATCATTACAAGATATTTGATAAATTTTTTTACGTTAAGCCATTTTAATTTGCTAGGCATTTGTCTAATTGGAGTATATTTATCTTTATTCAGTATTATTCTCATGAAGTTATTTTGTAAAATTTGCAATCTTTAAAAAATGGAATTAGGTGGTGAATATAGAATAGTCGAACAGTACAAGAAATTTGGAAGAATGATGGTATTATAGATAATTTTTCTGCTATATGAACTCAGACATCCAGAAACTCTTGATAAATATCCCACTTTACTACTAATCTTATTTATAACTTTTTCATAATGAATATCAAAAATTAATCGAGAGCCAACAAAAACCCCCCAGGTATTTAAAATTTTCTATGAATTCAATATCTTCACCATGAATATTCAGTTAAACATTTGTACGTTGTTTTTTCCGATTAACATTGCTTTCGTTTTACTTGTATTTAATTTGAGTCTGTTAGATGCTAACCATTTTGAGACAAGTTTCAAGTCTTCATTTATATAAGAGATACCAGTCTGAATATTTTTAGTACTTATATAAATCATAGTGTCATCGGCGAAAATCTGAATTTTGCATTTTTCTACTATGGCAGGTAAATCATTTATTTATAAAATAAAAAGAAGTGGTCCCAGGATACTGCACTGTGGAACACCCAACGTATTTTCAGTTTTTGATGAAATAGTGTCATTAACTTTTGTAACTTGCATCCTTTTAGACAAATAATTTCTAAACCAATCTAAAACACTTCCTTATATACCATATGCCTTCAATTTACCTAACAAAATATCTCTATCAATCGTTTCAAATGCCCTCTTCAAATCCAAAAATACTGCTATGACGACTTCTTCTGAGTCTATGGCTCTTCTCCAATTCTCAGTAACCGACTGGAATATTTTTTTGTGAAAGCCTGCTTGCGCCTCCACTAAAATTTTGTTTTCTTCTATAAACTGCATTAATTGGTCATGCACTATGGACTCTAATAATTTTTCAATGTCTGGTAACACATTTACTGGTCTCATATCGCTGCAACTTTTAGAATTTTTTATTTTGGGAACTGCTGTTATTGTAGAGCATTTCAAATTTTCAGGAAAAGAACTGCTTCTCAGTGAACAATTGATCCAATTTAACACAGGATATCCCAAAATTTCGAAACAGTTTTTCAGCACGTTTTTAGTAGTGATTTCGGCATAGTTGTTTGATTTTAAACTGTTTACTTTTTTTCCCAGACAATTCAAAGATACGCTATGAAATTTTGAAAGTGTATGCAATATTTCCCCCTGGAAACTGATTTTCATGTAGTCAGGTGCAGCATTGACAGTACCCACAATATCAACAATACTTTCCACAAAATATTCATTTAGATTGTTTGCAATCACCAAAGAATTTGTTTCGGTACCGTTTTCGAATTAAAATTGTTGTTATCGCTCCGACTATTGTCGCAGGTTATTGTATTCTCTTTTCCGTCATAGAGATATTCTGAGGATATCAAATCTTATAATACAGGGTGCGGCAGAGAGGATGGGCGATTTTAAACAAATCATATAATAGTTAATTTTTACTCGAAAACAAATTTATTGAAAAGGAAATAACATTTGAGACAGTCAAGTGTGGAAAATCACATCAGGCATGTGGTGGCCGAAATCGTAGATGCAGTGCTGGAGGCGTTCTTGGAAGTTCGCGTAGACTCTCTCCAACATCGCTCTCTCAACTTGGGCGACTTCCACGCGAATTTCGCCTTTCAATTCGTCCAGAGTTCGGGGCTTGTGGCTTGTGAAAGTGAGCTTCGTCACTCATAAACCAAATGAGGTTCTCATTTTGATCGATCAGTGCTTCCATCTCACGTGCGAAGTTCATTCGTTGTGCATAATCTCCGGGCTGTAACTGTTGCACAATGGACAATTTGTAGGGGTGAAAGCGGAGATCCATATGCAAAATTCGCATTTCCGAACGATCACTAAGGCGAAGTGCAGCAGCATGTTTCCGGGCAGATCGAGTCGGACTGCGAAGAAAGACCTATCAAACGCGTTCAACATTTTCAGGAGTTCGAACTGTTCGCGGCGCTCCTCTTGGTCTTCTGTTGATCAGTTCACCACGCCTGCGAAGTGATTCAACCCAACGAAGGATGGTGTTTCGAGAGGGAACAGATCTATTCCGATGAATGTTGAAGTGGCGACGAAACTCACGCTGTACGACGATGACTGATTCATTATTTCGGACGAAACAATCATAGGCGAAAACGCGGTGCTCACAACTGGTAAAATAATGGTAGAATCTCACGAGTCAAACGGCACCCTCCCCACCTCTCTCGCAGACGGAGGCGGAGAGTACTACCCATCCCAAAAACGTCCGTCCTCTCTGCCGCAGCCTGTATAAATACGGTCTATGGGTGGTGTTTCCGTGGAAAGTTTGAGTGTCATTTTGAAGAATAAACAATTTTCTTTAAAAGGAAGATGTAGTTTTATTACATCCAAGGGAATCACTGCGAACCTACTTGGGACGTGGCTGTGTGTGTGTGATAAGGTGAAATCAAAGAGAAACTGATCAAATCGCTGAGGAGCTGACCGTTTTAGTCAAAGCCCAAGATATTTTTGAACTTGTTTATAATATAACGCTATACAGTAACTATCTGTCAATTATGAAGGGAAAAATAAGAACTTCCACGAAGCAAGAGCATCAACTACATACTTCTATTTTAGGGCTGACATCCCATGCCGCTTTCGTATTGTACCAGAAGCTGTACAGCAATTGATAGACAATGTGCCTCGGACTTTGGAACATGCTATTGTGGTAGAGGAAGGGGTGCCTATGGACAGTGTCACAAATCTAGCAGAAGTTACCGAGGAAGTCAAGTCGAAACTTTTAGCATTAATGGTAAGTGTTAAGTAATGTTCACCTAACAAAATCTGAACTTATAAATATAAATTTAATGTACATAAACAGGCGACCTCAAGAGGAATGTTATGCTAATAATTTTCTTATATCTGTGATAAGAGAAAAAAGAGACATCGAGTTTTAAAATTTTTGATTAGTCACAAAGAGAAAAGCAGAAATGCCTGGGTTACCAAAGGATTAATAACATCGGCAATAGAAAAAGAAAGACTATATAATGTAATGAAACTAACGCCAACTACAGAGAATATCGACTGTTACAACCAATATAAAAATAAATTTATAGAGCTTGCAAGGCAAACCAAACGAAAACATTACCTAAATAAATTGAATAATAACTTAAATGATCCTAAGCGGCTTTGGACAACTATTGATGAGATTACTGGAAAAACAAAATTTAAAGAGTGTGTCACTGAGTTAAATACAACATCGGGAACAGTATTAAAAAATACTCAACAGATATGCGATGAATTTCTACAATTCTTTACTGACATAGGCGAAAATTTAGCAAGTAATATACAAGCAAATTTACAAAATACTCAGCCTCCAAAAAGAACTTTGAACTCATTTATTTTGGATAAAGTCGAACAATATGAAGTATACACCACTGTTATGTCCTTAAAAAATCGGAAAAGTCCTGGGTTCGATGGTATTAAAAGCGAGCATTTGAAAATTATAGCCGAGGACATAACAGAACCACTCACTTACCTAATCAACAAATGCTTTGAATCTGGCATATATCCCTCAATTTTAAAAAAAAGGTAATATAATACCGATACATAAATCAGGAACAAAAACAGATGTTAACAACTATAGACCAATATCAATAATATCCAGTGTAGCAAAGGTTTTTGAAAAAGTTTTATCTACTAGAATGATTCGATACCTCACAAAATTCAAAATTTTAAGTGAAAATCAATATGGATTTACAGAAGGGAAGGCTACATCGGACGCAATAACTAAAATTGTAAATCAAATATATCCAAATATTGATAACAGAATCCCTTCAATCTGCATTTTTGTTAATTTAAAGAAAGCTTTCGACACAGTTAATCACAAATTATTATTAGAAGCATTGGAGAGAATTGGTTTCAGAGGAAACGCGTACTCACTGATCGAAAGTTATTTGTCAAATCGCCCACAATCTGTGCAGATATCAGGATCATTTAGTAAAGAAATGTATATTAAGTGTGGTGTCCCACAAGGAACTGTCTTAGGTCCGCTGTTATTCAATATATATTTAAATGATATTTTCCAAATTAATTGTGTTGGCAAAATAACTAGTTTTGCAGATGATACTGCAATATTATATGAAGGCACTGACTGGTCTGATCTGAAAAATGTAATTGAAAATGATTTTATCAAAATTATTCGGTGGTTTAACAGTAGAAAATTAAGCATTAACTACTCTAAAACACATTTTTTACCATTTGGATCTTATGCTAGACATCTGCCAAATTACACAAATTTCTCCTTCAATATTAATGATCAAAAAATGCAAATTAATAGAGTGCCCAACATAAAATACCTTGGAGTGGTCTTGGATCCTCACTTACGATGGGACATCCATGTCAATTATATTTTAAAGAAAGTTAGATTTGTATCCTACAAAATTAAATACCTTGGGAATATATTGACAGAAAAATATCTTCAAACATTATACCATGCACTGATTGAGCCTCATCTCACATATGGTATATTAGCATGGGGAGCTGCATGTTCCTCACATATCTATAATTTAGATGTTTTTCAAAAAAGTATTCTAAAAATGATATTTAAAAAACTGAAACTTTATCCCACTGAAAAATTATATGCAGATGTTCGAATGTATGATATAAGACAGCTTTATTTCTTACACAGTATCACTCACTACCATAAATTTGTAAACACCGACCAAAAAATTAAACAATCATTGTACCAGATACAAAATTCGTGGCACAGTAGTTCCTCAACCGCATAAATCTATAATGCAGCGATCATATCTCTATTTAGCGCCTAAATTTTATGAAATTATACCTAAAGACTTAAAAGATTTATGTTTCGGAAATTGTTTCAAAAGAAATTTAAAAAAGTGGCTACATTCTATATCTAGGACTGAAATTCATAAACTCATAAATACCAACATCAACTAAATACATAATCTACTGTAGCTAATTTTTGTCCTTTTTTGTCATTTGCATTCTACAGTTTCAACTTAAATTATTGGTCCATGTACAGGCGATGCCTTCTATTGGGCCTGTTTTGATTTTATATTTATTTACTCATATTGTTTGTTATCTTTGTACATTATTATATATATTATTATTATTATTTTTATTATTATTATTATTATATACATTATTATTATTATTATTATTATTATTATTATTATTATACGGTTTGACGAGCTTTGCTATGTGAAGAAGTTGTTATTTTTTTGTTCGTTTAAGATTCATCTAATATGTTACATAACATTCGATTCTATGTAACGTTCTAAATGTTGCGGCACCTGATGATTTTTTATTTCAAATATAAAAATAAGAAAAAGATATATGAATCATAGCTTTATTTTGCAGGATTTGTAATTTTGAGAATACAACTTCATTGGCAGTGAACAAGATAGATATAGTAAATGCAGTAGAGTAATTGTATACTAAGTGACATATTAATCCGAACACCCAGTTTAAATGGTTTTATTTTATTAAAAGTACTTAATGAAGCTTAATAAGTAAATGATAAAAATTGCACTGCTTTAAAGCCCTTTGACCTTTAATAATGTGTGGATGCACCCTGATGTGCTACGCATTCTCCAACGCGCCTAGGCATGCTTCTGATCAGGTGGTCAATGTCCTCCTGTGGTATCTCATTCCAGGCAACCACCAACTCCTCTCGAAGTGCTTCTAGAGTCTGAGGAGGACGTTGCAAATTGAGCAATCTCCTACCCATCATATCCCACACGTGCTCAATTGGGGATAAGTCGGGAGATCTTGGTGGCCATGGTAACAATGTGACATCATTATGTTGAAAGAAGTCTATTGTGACTCTTGCAACATGTGGTCGGGCATTATCTTGTTGGAAAGTTGGATCTGCCAGGGTGTCAAGATAGGGTAAAAGATGGGGTTCTAGAACTTCGTGGATATAACGCTGCGCGTTCATGTTACCTCTGATGAAGATTAAAGGTGACCTGGAACCATAAGCTATAGCACCCCAAACCATAACTCCAACAGTGTGATGAACATGTCTTTTAACAAAAAACTGTGGATTCCACCTTTCACCACGTCGCCTTCTAACCCTGGCACGACCATCGTGCATGCCTAAACAAAATCGAGACTCGTCACTAAAGACAATACTGTTCCATTCCTGATCCCAGAGTGACCGTTGTCTGCACCACTCAAAGCGATTCCGTCGGTGTTCTCGAGTTAAAGGGAGGACCCAGTGTGGCCGGTATGAAAACAAGCCAAAACTTCTCATTCGTCGGTAAACACTTCGCATGCCAATAGGTCTTCCGTGTTCTGCAAACCATTCATTTGCAATGGACCTGGTAGTGGAGAAACGGTCCCTTAAGGCCAATAATCTTAGGCGGCGATCTTCACGGTCTGTTGTTCTACGGCGGCGTCCAATGCCCCTTGCTCTTTGCGTACGGCCTTCTCGAAGCCATGCCTGACAACACCCAACCACAGTGTCTACACTTCTTTGCACTCTAACTGCAATTGCCCGAAAAGAAAGTCCAGCTTCCCGAACTCCCACTATACGGCCCCTATCAAACTCACTAAGTTGACGTAACCGCAAACTAACAACATGTCGGCGAACTCTTGATTCGATGACATTGTAAATAAACACGACGATGTACGCGAATAAAAAACGATAAAGTAATTTATCTATGCAAAACGATAACTAACCACTGTTACCGTTTGCGATCGATTGCATGAAATGTGTATCTAATTCACTAATAATTTTTGCTCAGGACCAACCGCTGAGGCTGGAACGACCACTGATCTATCATTTGGATGTTGGCGCCATGTATCCTAACATCATCCTGACAAATCGCTTGCAGCCCTGCGCTATGGTAGACGAAACAATGTGCGCCTCTTGCGATTTTAACAAACCTGGAGCATTGTGCCAAAGAAGCATGGCTTGGATGATGCGAGAGGAATACAGTAAGTTAACGTTCATTTTTCATAAAAAAAAAACTTAAAATGCTGTTTGTTTTACGCTCTGCTGGAGCATATATTGTGAATTGATGATTTTTGTTGGATGGTGAACCCAGTTTAAATTAACTGACTTTTTAATGTGAACATTCACTATTTCTCACTACTTTTTTTGAAAATCTCACATTTCTCACTTGAATTCATGCTTTGGGCCGCCAGCACCCCTGCCCATATGATTTTCAGTTAGTTTGAGATTCGATCTAAACTACCAACAAACACCGAACGTTTTCATCACGTTTTTAAATTGTTCTCTTTCAGTGCCGGCATCCCGTAACGAGTATCAACGAATCCAACAACAATTAGAAACTGAAAAATTCCCTCCCGCCTTTCCCGGAGGCCCGCCAAGAGCGTTTCATCAATTGAGCAGGCAGGAACAGGCAGATTTAGAAAAGAAACGGCTATCGGTGTACTGCAGAAAAGTATATAAAAAACTGAAATGCACCAGGATAGAAGAAAGGAACACCACCATATGCCAAAGAGAGAATTCCTTCTATGTTGATACTGTCAGAGCCTTCAGAGATAGAAGGTGAGTCAAACACTTCCCAAAATGAATGTTTGTGACAGCGTGCAACACCCTGTATCTGTGATATTTATAGGAACTCACTTTTGTTGTTGTTGTTGAAGATTTATTTAGCATTATGCCACAATTTCAAATTTGTATAATGATTCGGTTACATATTTTTCTTCAATCCATTTTCTGTAATTTTACATTCTTGTCTATTAAAATTCAAAATAAAATTACGTCACTATGCATTTTGATTATTCATAAAGTGATTCTTTAATTTCACCTTAAACATTTTTAAATTCGAACTCTGTTTAATATCATTATTCAATTTATTAAATTCAAATATTCCCTTTTGAAATATAGATTTACTAGTAATGCAACTATTAAAATTATGGAAAACTCTATAGAAGTAATTCATCTTTTTCGATATTTTTGAAATAATGTATTCATAATGTCGTGAAACAGTAGCTTACTATCCACATACACCTTCGGAAAAAACATTATTATACATTATGATGAGGAAGAGAGATGGAAATATACAAAAGTATGTAGGTGCGTGAAAGACACTCGATTGTAGGATCCTATGTGGCAGCGTCGGAGTGTGACGGACAACGGGGTAAAGTAGAAGAGTGATAAAAGAGAGATGGCAGAACGGGCGCTGGCGCCTGCCGCTTAGACGGATGCGCTCAACAAATGCGATTTGTTTCTCCCATTCGCAGAGTTGCCGATACCAATATGTCATATTTCTAAGAAATCTAAGTCTACCCAAATTTCGGGAAAAATAGCTGCGGATTCCACATAAGAGTATTCCAAAAATGAAAAAAGTTCAAACTATTAAAATTGTATTAATGTTTCATGGTTCAAATCATATTTTTCATGTTTGTATATTGTTGTATAAATGATTTTGTAATCCCTATTCTTGTTGCCAGTAGAGATACAACAGTATTGAGAGAAATCATGGACCGCTAGATAGGGCTACAACTACCATATGACTATCAAATAGTAGTGATAAACAGGGTTTGTTTATAGCACAGTTGCCTGGTGTGGCGAATTTGCGCCATAGGGGCGATTTGACAACTATAACGGGTACTATGGTGCCCGGTATTCAGGAATCTGGCAATACCTGATGATTCCTAACGTTTATTACGCCAGATTGTTTGCTGACTTGCGCAGTACAACATGACAATCAACGTGACTGAGCACCTGGTAACCCTGGTTTAAGGTGTTATATTCAAAGAGCTTGGGGCAGTTAGGTATCTAGGTCACATTTTTTAATGTATTTCGAGAAATCCGTAATGTTGAGTAAATACTAGATCACGTTTCTTGCTTAGTTTGCTGAAAATTCTACAATAGACGTACATTTTGAGAAACAGAGATTTGGTGACGACAAAATCGTAAAAATATAACGCATTTTCGTAAGATAATTTCTTTGTTGAAAAGACTGTGGCTTGATGACCCATTGAACGAGGATAGTGTCCCGCTCCGCTTTGAATATTCGAAACACTACACTCCAGCAGCATTCAGCTTAAATGTTATCTTTATGAAGTTCTAACGTCTAGGCCATGCTGATTAAAAGCTTGAATGAATCAACACTTAACTCTAAATTCCCCACAATTCGGGAAGCTCTACTCAAATTGGCAACACAGCGTATCTGCCTATTATTCTCATTCGTGATACAGGTCTGCGGTCTGCTGCAAATTTCAGTATGCGTTGAGTCGATAGAAGAAGTACAGTAGATGCGCGCATTACGCACCAGTTCGATTGGACGTCCTGTGAACCGATTTCGGTGATTTCGAGATTTCACGAAATCACCTAAATCACTCTACTTATTTTTATGAATGGATAATTGGTTTTGTAGCAATAAAGGTTGCGTCTCATAACAAAAATAAGAAGATAACCACTCTAACAAAAAATAGTACACTCTTAAAAATGTGTAACGAAAATAAAAAGATATTCTAACAAAAAAATAAGTTCTCAAAAATAAAACGCAATAATGAACACAAATGTTTCAAATGGTCCTTCACAGCTGGGGCTCAAAAACGTCTCCTTCATTCAATGAACAGTATGTCAGGCGGTCATAAAACTCCTGACGAACTCTCAAGAGGGTAGAAGGCTGTATTTGCCCGAGCGCTTCAACGATTTTCACCTGTAGGTTATGCAAATTGTCTGCTCTCTCATTGAAAGTGTAAACAGTACTTTTCACATAACCCCACAAGAAAAAATCATTGGGCGCTAGTTCGGGTGATCTAGGAGGCCATTTTATTGTTCCGTTACCGCCAATAATCCGTTGGCCGAACACACTTTCAAGGTAAGTATGTACGATCGCCGCATTATGCGCCGGCCATCCATCTTGTTGGAACCAAATATTAGCGTGATCAATGCCAAGCTGCCTTATTGCAGGAACAATCTGCGTCTGTAGTAACGCCAAATATTTTGCAGCCGTAAGAGTTCCATCAATAAAGAACGGTCCGATAATGTTATTACCTAGAATTCCTGCCCACACATTCAGTTTCTGTGGATACTGCGTGCGGACGGGAATACTGAGGTGTTTATTTTCCCGAGACCAATACCGAACGACTGAAGGATTGTGATGACCGTGGAGAGGGAATGTGGATTCATCAGTAAACAAAATGTTACCAATAAAACTTCCATCCCTAAATATTTCTTGAACCGTTCCAACCTTGAAGCTATGATAGCCGTTGCGATGCAAACTATTCTTGTTGTTCTGGGTGTGAGATCGGCTATTGGTACCATTTCAGCAATTTTTCTGCTTGAGCATGGCTCAGATACTTCTGCAGCGGCACAAACAGCAGTTTCGATCTCCTCCCTTTTCTCGCTAATTTTTGGTTTCGAACCTTCAGGGTGCATGCAGCTATGGCACTTATGTAAGCAGCCCACCCTCTTGAATTTTTCGTAGGTATTTATAACCGTTGCGTGAGACGGAATTGGCCGATCTGGGAAGCGTACCGCAAATAATTCAACAACCGCGCGTGCTGAATTATTCTGGATGTACCATTCTATCATTTGAAACTTTTCTTCTTGCGAGTACATTTTTAAGATATTTTGGATTAAATAAAGACGCACCTTTCCTACACAAAACACAACCGCAGAGTGAGTCATGAATCCCTTATCGCACCTGACAACGGCACGCGCGTTAACGGTGGGAAATATGTACGAATAGCGATGAAAGTAGACGAGCCGATGCGCTGTTGCCAAGAAATGATTTCCCATGTATAACAGTGGTTTTTCCTAAGGTGTATATATAAGTGTATCGTCCGCAAATATTTGAATTTTGCAGTGTTCAAAAATGTCAGAGATATCATTTATATAAATAATAAATAGTAACGGCCCTAATTTACTCCCCTGTGGCACCCCTACTGATATATTTTGAACACTTGACATAATATTTCCAACTTTAGTTTTTTGACTTCTATTTACTAAATAATTTTGTAAAATGTGTATACTGATCCTTTAAAGTCATAGTGACGCAGTTTCATTAACAATTTTTCCCCATCTATAGTCTCAAATGCCCTTTTGAAGTCTAAAAATATTGTTACAATATATTCTTTCTTCCACCACCATTTGGATTGCCGTTTCTGTGGAATATTTTTTTCTAAATGATGATTTTTTATCAAAATTTTGGTTTCTTCAATGAATTCTTAAATTCAATCGTGTAATTTTCGCACTAGATATTTCTCAACTGTCCAGTAGGCTGATTTGAGTAATAACTTCGTTTCAGGTACGAGTATAAGGGTCTATCGAAAAAGGCAAAGGCGGCTGTAGTAGCAGCCGTGAAAGGCGGAGATGCATCCGAAATAAAATCTGCCAAGAACAGAGAGGTGCTTTACGATTCTTTGCAATTGGCGCATAAGTGTATCTTGAACTCGTTCTATGGATACGTAATGAGAAAAGGGTGAGTTGTAGATTATCAAGCCGTTCGTATCGAGTATCAGATAAAGTGTATCTAGTGAACGCCGACCAACGAAAATGCCGTTAAATTAAGGTCATTATGACGGTCTAATATTACTCCTAATTGACGTCATTATATGACGTCAGGGTGGCCCATATGTCCTTTGAGCTGGAAAAAAAGGAATAAAACCAAACTAGTTGCATTATGAAGAATTATTATATTTTGTTATCATCTTTATTGAATGGGAATTATGTTTTAAAAATCACATCGTCTAAATGCAATCCATTACGATCACGGCACTCATATAAACGACGTCTAAAATTGTCGATGACTGCGCGGCAAGTCAACACTGTAATGCTTGCCATTTCTCTTCGGATATTTTCTTTCAGGACATCAACTGATCGCGGAGTGGTGTCGTACACTTTACTCTTGAGGTAGCCCCATAAAAAGAAGTCCATTGGGGTCAAATCTGGACTACGTGGTGGCCAGGAAATGTCTCCTCTTCGAGAAATTACTTTGCTGGGAAAAAGTTGACAAACGACGGGCATAGAAGTGTTGGAGGTGTGGGCAGTTGCTCCGTCCTGTTGAAACCAGGTCTGCGTATTATAGCCTGGAAAATTCTGCAACGCTGTTGTCAAAAACTCCTCTATCATTGCTACATACCGCTCCGAAGTAACAGTTAATGCGCGACCTCTGTCGTCCTCAAAAAAATAAGGGCCTACGATGCCATGCGCTGACATAGCAGCCCAAACTGTAACTTTAGGGCTGTGTAAGGGCTTCTGATGCTTACGCCTTGGATTTTCGGGGCTCCAATAATGGCAATTTTGTTTATTTACATGGAAGTGAGCCTCGTCCGAGAACAACACATTATTGAGCGAAGAAAATCGATTCAACATTTCATTCGCAAAGTTTAGTCTCTGAATAGCGTCATTATCTTTTAATTCCTGCACTAACTGAATTTTGTAAGCGTGCAGACGTAAATCTTTCCTTAAAATCCGCTGTAAAGATGTTCTGGGTACGTTTAGTGCACTGGAACGCTTACGAGTAGACTGGGTAGGATTTTGACGAACAGACTGTGCCACAATGTTGATGTTTTCTTCAATACGAGTTGTCCTTGGTCGACCCCACCGCTGTTTATCTAACGTCGAACCAGTCTCTTCGAACTTAGCAACCCAGTTCTTAATCGTTTGAGCTGTTGGACACTTTGTAAAATTGTGGTATTCTCGATATTTACGCC